AGAATTGTACACAAAGCCCAGTTCTTCTCAACAGCAACAGGAACACACAGACCACGAGCTTCTGCCAAAGTCTCCCACCAGACAGTTTAGCCATGTGCCAGAGGAACATCTGTCTCTTTCTGCCTCAGCTCCTTTATTCTCTGACATTTAACGTCTTTCCTCCTTCCCAGCCTCATTAGATGTCCCAGTCCCCGAGCCTGGAACCTCGGAAAACTTCTTAACTCCGGGTGGAGTCATGCCTTTGGGCTGACCAGTTAGAAATGAAATGCTTTTCTTCCGCTCTGCCTAAGTGTGATTTGTAGAGCAGTTGCAACTCAGGACATGGAAGGTACCAGGAGGCTGTCATATGCCCGATCCTGCAAGATGTCTGAGTCACTCCCTTTCCTCCCAGGTCAGCTGAACCTCCCAGAGAGAGCTTGATATCATTACTTGTTAGATCACTTAAATCACAAATTACTTGTTGATATCCCTACAGTGTTTAATTTGTTGGAGAAGAAAGTTAAAAAAGTTGAAAAGTTAAAGAAGATGTTAAACAACATCCTTACTGTCAGTGCCAATGTTGTGGTAGGATGTACTTATATTGCTAGCAGCTAATGCCACACAGAGCCATTGTAGTTGTATGACTGATGTTGATAGTACTGATTTTAATATGTTTGGTAAAATCACACCTTAAATAAAATTGCTTTGGTAAGGGACATTTATTACCTCTAATGGTGTTCCACAGGCATACTTATATCCAGCCCACTATGGAGCCTTAGGCCATGGCATGATTCCCAAGAAAACCAACCAGTGCCAAACATACATGAAGTCGGAGGAGCACATTAATGGAGTAATCACAGCTGTTTAACTATTTATGAAGTAATCTTCCTATCAGGACCTTCCAGCTCATTGTTGCAAATCAAATTTATTCTCTTCCCATTCTTCTCAGAACCTGCCTCTGCAGGATCGTCTTTCTTTCCTGGACAGTGTGGACAGAACTGCTTTCAAATAATTTTGTTTGCCTTGGCAGAGGGCCTCACATGCAATACCTGCTCAAGTGATTCTGACTCATAGATTGGGATTTCACTGACAGCCCAGCTGTATTTGGTGCCCATTTCTGTATAAATTCATCACAGTTGTGTTACATTATCTCATTTGTTAGTCAGTTCTAAAGTCTTGCTTCTCATGGGAGAGCAGTAAATGCACTACATGTCTGAAGTTTCCCAATACCTCAGAAATATTTTTTTCCATTTCTGTCTCAATTTTCTTTAAAACGTGTATGGATTTTGATGTTTGAAGCCACTCAAGTCACCTTAAGGAGCCTCCTTGGCTCTGTGTGTTCTTTTACCAAGTCACAAACATTAATATTTGTATTGAATATGAATGAGAATCTGAAACGTAAGGTACCTTACCTGATTCAGAGACTGGAAAAACTCTATGAAAGGGAAAGTAAAATATTCTGTGGAGAGCTCTGTAGCTAGATTTGTTTCTAGCAGTTTGTAAGTAATTCACCTGGTGCTGCCCCCATACTGCAGTCTGCACTGAATACATGACTTAGACAGAGATGGCCACAAACGGCCTACAAAGGAGCTTACTACCTGGTGAAGTTGCTCAGCACAATTTTTCTGCTGATGCACAAGGACTTTTGAAGCCGTAAGTGACCACAAGCCTCTAGGTTTCACACTTCAAATTCTTTCTCCTTCCCTGCTCCTCAAAGGTTGTTATAGACCGTGACTGATATACAAACATGTTATCCCTAGTATTAGGATAGAACGCTTACTGCACACCACTTCTTCTGTATATAAAATACACATTTCAAGAGGATTTACACAGACTAGCCACACAAAATACATTTCCTAACATTTATAAAATTTTAAGATCTAAAGTGATAATTGACATATTTAGACTTGTCCCGATACTACTCGGACTCTAGAAGTCCAGATTTCAAGACCATTTTTTTCAGATGCAAGTTTTGATACACATGAAATGAATTAGATGAGGTAGCTACAGATCCTCTTAATCTTTAGTGTTTGTAACACTAAAAGTAAGTCTGCTTTAACAAGCCATTACCAATAAAGTCCTCATGTGTTCAAAAATCCAATACTGGAATTATATTGATATGAAACTGAAATGACTGTCCAGGATGAAACACATCTGAATTTCACTGGTCCTGTACTTTATAGTTCTTACATCAGTTCTAACACCTCAGACAGGATGAAAACATTTTTCCCTTGACAAACTTAATTAATAATATTACTCGTCTCCTGTTTTTGCACATTACCGCTGCTTGACAGAATAGTTGCCCATCTTTATGACTTATTGCCAGTCCCTCCAGTCATATGAACTGATGTTAATGCCATTTTGTGGTGGCCTGCTAGATGCCTATCTAGCCGCTCTCTTTCTGCCCTTTCTTGAAAGGATAGGGGGAGAAAATAAGATGCAAAAGCTCCTAGGATAAGATAGAAACAGGGAGATAGCTTACCAATTGCCATCACAAGCAAAACAGACCTGACCTGGGGAAACTGGCTGATTAAATTTGGATTAGACGGTAAGAAACAAAAACAAAAGTCAAAACAACACCTTGCCACCACCACCCCCTTTTCTCAGGCTCAACTTCACCCATTCATTCCTGAGTTTTCTCCCTCCTCCTGCCCTGAGCAGTGCGGTAGGGTGGCCTGTAATAGTTTCTCTCTAACACTCCTTCTTCCTCACACTTTTCCCCTGCTCCTGTGTGGGCTCTCCATGGGCTGCGGCTCCCTTCAGAGCACATTCACCTGCTCCAGTGAGGAGTCCTCCATGGGCTGTAGGAGAACAGCCTGCTCCACCAGAGGCCTCTCCACATGCCACAGGAGAACTGCTTCTGCATGCCTGGAGCACCTCCTGCCCTTCTGCTGCACTGACCTTGGTGCTTGCAGGGCTGTTCTTTCATATTTTTTCCCTCACTTCTCACTGCCCATGTGGTGTTTTCTGCCCTTTCTTACATAAGTTTTCCCAAAGACACCCACCTGTGGCTGTGGGGCCCAGCTGTGCCCTGCAGTGCTGGCAGACACCAGCCTCACCTCACAGCCCTGCAGCTCCCTGCTGACAGCACCATGACACTTACACCCAGTACACATTTCTAGAAAGAGCCATAAACCAGAGTGGAATTACCTTTTCCATAACACATATAAGGCAGATCGTACGGTGCTACTTTCATGGTGATTGGCCTCCTTCCTCCTCACTACTAAAGTTTTCAGCACTACTGCAATCAAATGCTGTCACAGAAGCTCTCTCTTTACTCCTTTCACTGGCCTTGATATGTGAATTGAAATTCAGCTGAGCATCTCAAGCTGGAGTACCTTTAATTTATCTGATATGGTAATGTGGGTATGTGTTATGCCAGGTACAGTATCTCTCTGAGTTCGGCCTCTTCTTCTGCCTCTGCATTTAAGACTCATGAACAGATTGATGGTTGTGATGGTTGGATCCTGTTTGTACGTCAACAGCCTTCACTAGGGATTTATTATTTTTTTTTCTTTCTGGGCTGTGATCATCACACTGAAGCCAATGCGCTTATTTTGATTGTTCAATTTCCTCTCTGTTCTTCATCTCCCACGTGATAACTGAGGCCATAGTTTTAAGTTGGACCCCTCAGGATAATTTTTTGTTCAGAATCCTGAGGAGCAAAAAGGAGGGAATTATATAAATAACCTTCTCTGCCCAGATTCTTTGGTTGGCCCACCAGCTCATCAGGGTATCGTTCTACCACAGCTCTGCACAGTGGGAGAAAGGATGCTCTAATGACTCGGTTGTTCTTCAGGACCTACCTAGCATCTTACTGCATGTCTGATTGCCTTCCTGCTTATCACCATTTGCTAGGAGATACTTTTGCCTCTCCTGTCTCCTGTGTTATTTCCTGAACTAGCTTCTGACACAACCACCATCTCTTTGGATGCTCTGGCAGGTATGTTGGTCAGTGAGTGTGCACACAGAGGTGCCTTGGGGTCCTGCTTTGGGATTTGCCACTTTTTTTGGTCAGGAATGTGCTGGTGATATCTGTATAAAATCATATTACACTCATCTCAAGTTAGGTTGGGGTTGAGACATACAGTTATGAGTACCAAGTACATCATAGTTATAATCTTTTGTGAAAGACTTAAGGAAAAAAATCTATTCTTAACCAACAAAAATTACATCAGAAAGATTGCTCTCTCTCTCTTTCCCTTGCCCATTTAACTAGCTGTCCCCAATGAAAGGGTTATCCCATTCAGTCCTCCACAATGCCTCTACTTTAGTGGAATATGTTAGCTTCCAGAGACTGTTTCTATCTTGAAGACATTCATGACAAATTCACAGAATCACAGCACTGGTGAAGCTGGAAGGGCCCTCTGGAGGCCACCTGGTCCCCCCCTGTTCCATCAGGGACACCCAGAGCAGGCTGGCCAGGGTCACCTCCAGGAGGCTTTGGAAGGCCTCCAAGGAGGAGACCCCACAGCCTCTCTGGGCAGCCTGTGGCAGTGCTCCCTCACCCGCACAGCACAGAAGGGCTGCCTGGTGTTTGGATGGAATTCTTTTCTTTCATACCAAAAGCCATTTCAGAATTTGTTGTTGACCTTCTTAGCTAAATGAAGTATTATTTCACCTCTTTGTGATCTGTAAATCACACTTTTTTAAGCTAAGGGTGATCTCTTGCACAATTCTGCCTAAGGAGACAGAAAAGTCACTCCCATCCTCTGACTTGAGGTGATTCATAGGCATATATCCATGAGAAGTGTTGCTATGTGGACTTCAGGTCCACATGTAAGTATGTTAAGAAACATACTGGATACAAAAATATATGGGAATTAAGTGCAGCTGGATCATTGCTGACTCTTGCTTGAAACCAGACACCATGGCACTTGACTTCTGCAGCAATTTGACCCTCTCTCCTAGCCTTTCTCAATTCAGCTCCCTGTAACACAGCTGTCAGTCTCAGCTCTCCCTTTCCTCTCAGCCCCGTGACTGAGGCTGTGCCTACACTCCTGATGTCAGTGCCAGCTCCGGACCAACTGCATGGTGTTTACATGCTGCCAGGTTCCCAGAAAGGAATTTGTCTCATCTTAAAGCAGACTTCTGCAGTTGCTCAGGTAGCTCTTGCCCTCAAAGTGCCCTCTCTCCTTTGAATTTGAAGGTTGCCTATATGAGGGGTTTATGTGTGGACATCAACACTGCAGGCAGCGTTTCAATGTTGTCTGTGTAAAACATAAAAATTATAGGGATCTGCAGCCTAACAGGGATAATGTGAAGATAAATACATGTTATCATAATTAGACTGTTGGCTGGATAGCACTTTTGAGCTTTATCCACTTGATACCCTATTCTGTAAGTCCTCTCTCCAGTTTGTGCTTGCTCAACTAATTTCAAGCTTTCTAAATCCTAATTCCTTAAACACCTTTCTTTCTCCTCCAGAAAGATGGCTGTTACGAGTAATTTCTTTGTATGCATTGATTTGTATGATGACACTGAAGCATGTGAAACCAATTGAGATCCTAACTGAACTACCTTTAAACAAAGTAGGGCAGTATGGCAGCAAAGCCGCTGTTTGGACTGCATGTCAGCAGAGCGACCCAGTATGCTACGTAGGTTTCCAACTGTGCCGAAGTTCCCAGCACTGGGCAGGATGCTTCTGTGGGTACTAATACCCTTAGCTTGCAGTCCAAGCTGAATAGTGCCTTACTGAGTGCTGTGGGATGAATTCTGGCACAGAAAGAGAGATCAAACGCCATACCCCGGCACGTGTCCTGGGTGATTGAGCGTTTATTGCAGAACCTCAGTGTTGCTGGATATTAAGTAATTATGGATATCTGTCTCTGTTTTGGCAATGCTGGGGATTCATTACTTACATGATTTTGGCAGTGCTGAGGTCTGGTTTATCTTGTCCTGCTGTGTGCTTTTGGAGGCTGGAATCCCCACTCTTTTCTGAAGAAAGAAGCTGGTTTTCTGTAGTACATTTCTGATATCCCAGCTTTGTTTCAGGACCTTTGCCTGAATGGCTGGGCAAGTGGCAGCACATAGCATGGCAGGGGCAGGACTACGTGGGCAATGGTTGCCCTGCCAATGCACACATGCTGGTGCTGGTGGCCACCTGGCTGCTGGCCCTAATCACGCACCGTGGCTGGATCCCTCTGACAGCACCAGCTCGGTTCTCTTTCCTTTACCCAAACAGAGAACCTGTCGAAATGTTTTATCTTTGACATCTTCATCCATATGCCAAGTGTGAATAAAATTACTCAGCTGTTCCAAAAGAGAGGAGGAAAGAGAGATGTATGAATGGACAGACTGTGTGATCATATAAACCTCATTTCCTTAGAAAACCAAAGTAATCGTGTATCTCCAGCATCATGGAAAACAGCAAAAACTCTCTGAAATGTTACAAATATTATAAAGCATAAAATATGTCTGATTGCAGCAGAGCTATGATCCCAAGACTGGAATAAGTATGTGGAGTGGAATTGATTTCGGTGACTGGAAACCAAAACATGGCCATCTCAACCCCAATTTCTTTCCTCTTATACAGTTTTCTGAGGTAGGGTTTAATGTTTTTCTCAGAGAGAAAAGTTAAATATTTCCTTGAAGAGTATTTATAAAACTAAATAACTCTACATGCCTGTGACATCAAATCACAAATGTAGTGCTATATTGCCCTGTGGGCATGCAGATTTCAAGCTTTTCAGTATATTTTGCTATTATAACCATTTTAAAGTGCATTTCTTGCAAATGCTGTAATTTCTGGAGACACTTCAGTTGTACATTGGCTTACAGACTGTTATCACAGTTGTGGAAAGAAAAGAAGAAAATATTTCTATTTCCAAACACCAAAATCAGTCTGACAGGCCTGCAATCTCTCTGAGAGATCAATGGTGACTTCTGTTTTCCTTTGCTTGTATAACTGCTTTCCAACCCTTACACAAAAGCATTAATCCTTCCTAGAAACAAGGCACATCTATTCATAAAAAACCCTTGGAGATTTTATTGCAGTATGTTTTCAAGAAACAGTTTTTAAATGCTTTCACTTAAGCAAGAGAAATTAAAAAGAAATATTGGAGCTGGAAAAATATGAATGACTTCTACTCAGATACCCCAGCGTTTCTGACTAGCTTTGCTGTCACGGTCACATTGTTTCCATGTTATGAGGTTGTTTTCCGCATACTTGTTGGTCTGTGCCATGCATTTCAAGAAAACTGGGTTGTAGTATATGGGGACAATGTGTGACAAAGTCTAGTTTGGCTAAAGAAGCTATTCTGGATCTGCTGAGTTACAAGGTAGTGGATTCCCCAGTTCATGTCTTTGCTTCCAGAAAGCTCTGCCTTTATTATGCTGAAGTGACTCCCCACAGGCTGGTGTCTTGAATATCCTCAGTGACATTAATTTCATAACTTTTCCTGGCATCTCATTTCTGCATTGGCTTCATTCTGCATTCATACAGTTATGAAAATTTCCCTAATTTTCAATCTTAATTTTTATGTTAATACTTTATTTTATTAGTTCCTGGTCTTCCTAATGGGTTAATGAGACTGATTTATCTCTCATCTAGTATCCTTTTGTACTTCTGTGAATAATCCTGCTTCCTCTTGGTCTTTTCTTTCCCTGAAAGCTTTTCAGCAGTTGAAGATGTTCTACAGTATTTTTCAAATATTTAAAACTATTTAACTCCATATTTAAAATATAAAGTGGAGGACTGGAGTTATCTCTAGTGAAGCTTGTATTTTTGTATGTTGTTTCTATTAATACTACCCAACATCGTATTTAATTTTTTTTTTCTTTTTTCTTTTTTTTTTTTTCTTTTTTTCCTGACAGTCACGGCAACTTGCATACAGTGCATTAACAGCTTTAATCTTCTCTGATATGACTGGTTGATCTCTTTATAATGGTCATTTTGATGATGTATGGATCAATTTAAATACATTTTCCCCATCTGATTCCAGTCATATTTATCTCTGCAAAAACCTTAACTGCTATACTGAAAATCAGTAGTGAGTTTTAACTGTCTCTTTTGGCCCATGAACAGGCTTCAAATGAAAAGGTTTCAATGCTTCACTCAAGAAACATAATCCATTTTAAATGCCTGGTGCTTGAAAATTCTTAGAAAGTGCAAGCTATGAATGCCTGGCTCGGCTGACCTAAGCTAGCTGCACTGCTATGATGTGGTAGAAATATAAGCATAGGTAGGGGAAACTGCTGGGATAGTGGGAAGAAGCGGGTAGCTGTTGCAAGGAGGAAAAACAACTGCAAACCTGAAAAACAGATCTAAGCTGGAACTGGCAGCAAGAGAAGTCATTTTAACGGAGCTGGGACTGAAAATTGAAGCATTATAGACTCACATGCATCTTTGACAGCAGTACATAATTTCATAGTAACCTGCAGAAGATAACCGGGTAACAGTTCTTACTGGATAACAGGAATTTCCTTCCTGAGTAACTTACTTGTGCTATTGAAGATGGAAATGTTCTCTTGTAGCTAACTCTTACAGGTTTTTCTTCTATGTTCTCTGAAGTGGATTTTCACATTACTGCTGGTGGCAGGAATTTACCCAACTCATAACCAGGATGGAATAAAACTACCTAATCCAGGTATGAAATGCTATAATGCTATTTTTTGAAGATAGCATTTCCTCCTTGCCCACATATATTTCCAGTCTGATTTATAGTCCAGATTTCTTGCATAGCATTGATTAGCATGAAATGCATTACTCAGTAAATCTTCTAATTTGGGCTACTTCTAGACTGAAACCACCCATTTCAAGGATTGTCTACATCATATTAGTGAAAAAAAAAAATCTCTCTCTCTCTCTCTCTTTTTTTTTTTTTTTTTTTTTTTTTAAATCTTATTTTTGAGGTAGTATTTCAGCCAATCCTGGAATTTGTCCCAGTTCCCAATAGCCGTACCCTTAAATGTTTTTGTTCAGTTCCTTTTGCTGGTAGGATACTTCACTAAGACTGGACTGGGTTATAATTACCCCCTAAAAAGACTGCCGCGGGATTTACCTGAGGAGACGTAAAGTTTCTAACAAGATCCTCCATTGCAGACATTATCTTTCCATTCTCTTTCCAGTTCTACTCTGCCAGAACCAGCAGCTTACTGGTCCCCTGAAAAACAAGGAAACATTGTACCTTCGCTTCAAATTCACACATTCTTACCCTTTGCTTACTGCGTGCTAAAACAAAAATTTAATTTCGTGTTGTTATGAAAGTGTTCCTGCTCGAACTGTATATTCATGTTGATGATCTTCTGTGATAAGATACTGTACAACTTTACAGTGTCATACACTAAGCACGGCAGCATGCAGGAGCTCACATGATGGTCATTTAATATCCATGACTCACAGTCCACAGGGCTAGGACTCCAGCCAGCTGGGATTTGTTCTAAGTGGTGTGAAAAGACAAACAGTACATGAGATATAGCTCAGATACCAAACATGGTGGCCAAGGATTTAAGAAACCATGGCTGCTTGCCCTCTCCAGTAAAAAATAAAATAAAAATCATGCAGTAGATTCATCTTTAGAATTTCATTTCACCTTTAGAATATACATATATTTAAAACTGAAGAAAAATCTGGTACCAAAATAAAGAATGTGATATCTTGACCTTCCTAGGCAGGTTTTGCATCTTTGCTCATCTCTGTTTTGTTTTCTTACCTTTGCTTTGTTTAATTTTTCAGTTTGAGTTTAATGGTGGAAATTGATAACTACTCTAACCATGCTTGTTCCTTCTGCCTGATTTTTATATTTAAAACTGCAACTTATTTTCTGTGGCTTGATATTCAGCTGGGATGGTATATAGTTGTGGAGTGCAGGAGGGATTAGATGTTACTCTGTGATTCACCCAGTCCCTGAGGAGAGCTATATAAAGATCATCCTCATCTCCTTGGCTCCAGGGAAGCTAGGGGGCAGATTATGAGCTAGCGGAAAAGACGAAGGCATCAAGGAAAACCTCACCATCTGCAAAAGAGGTTCTACAAGTGCACATCTCCCTGTTCTCACATTGTGCAGAACTGGAAAAAAAGTGTGCTCCATCGCTCAGCTACTGTTAGTATAGACATAGAGGGAGAGTTTAAAGAAAATCAAAACCACTAAAAGCCCTCTTTCCTACTTTGCAACTGTTCCTGTCACAGAAGTTGCTCAAGGTTTCCTTTTCCAAAAAGAAGATGATGATGTGGAAAGGCAGGACTTAGGGACTCTGATGTTTACAGATGCCTTTTATCCGTAGCCTGGGAATCCTGAAATATGTTTGCCTTGTAAGGGCAGGTTATTTCCAACCACTCCCTTCATTTATGTTCCTGTTAAACCCATGGCTTAAGTGGGGCTTCTGTGCTGGAGAGATTTTGCCCTGGCCGTCTGCCCAGGGATGGATTGCAGCAGAGTAGACTCTGACAGAAATAGGTGGTTATGTGTGTAGACCTCTAAGTCTTGAAATGAGAATATCACTGCTAGAGGTCAAGGTTTATGTTTGCCAATATTTCCCTCATTTACTGAAGTCAGTTGACTCTCCATTGCCAGTGGTGGTTATTTTAGTAACATGCTCACAATGGTGTGGATTTTCTCATTTCAGTCTTTACAAAAACAGCACAGTGTTGGATACTTTTGCCTCTGAGACTTCATTAATAAGTCCAAACTCAGTGCTCTCATGCTAAAATTTCCTCTAGACTATTTTGTTTACCAGTGAAATTGTTTTAGATACATTTCTATGAAATACTTAATTTTATTCTTACAAGTTTTATCTAAGGTTTTAATTCTCCAGAAACTCATCTTTCATAATTATACAGGAGCAAGAAAAGAAAATCAAAACTTTTTTTTTTCTTTTTTTTTCCCCCCTAAACTTATCTGCAGCATTTTTAGATTGCTTTTCAAACCACTTTTGGAATTATGGATTTAAAACCAAATGTCTGATAGCTGCTCCTTACTTTGCTCTTCCATGCTTTTTAAGGAAGAATCAAGATGTGATTTGGAAAGTTTCAAGAGAGAAAGAACCTGAAAGCTGACAACTATAACAACACCTGCCTCAGCTTTCTGTGTTCCGAGTGGCATATTTAGTTATATTTATCCTTCTATTTTTGCATCATTATTTTGTCCCACATCTCATCACATGCAGTAGAGTTTTGCTGCTTCAAATTCTATGTCAACTGTAAAGTCACTGCTAGATGTAGGCTATTCAAGATAAAATGACTTTCCAAAGAGCAGTTATATTTTCTTTCAGTTTTGAATTGAATTTTGCTGTAGCACTATCTAGTATTAGCATTGACTTACTAAGGCTTTACTGACATTGCTTTTGTTTTTAATGCCCATTATGTTAAAATGGTTCTGTTTGTTTGTTTTTGTTTAAATATGTGTTGCTGTTCATATTACTGAAAGTAAACTCAAAGAGCCTTTTAGAAGGAAATGAGATTTGTGATGATACTCAGTTCCTTGGAGAGTAATTTTATCCTTAGATGGAAGTTTGAGAACACTATTCTAGCATAAATAAGTTTTCCTTAGTTATAAGGACATATACGTATAAGAATTTCCAGACAATTATGTCCTAGAAGACCGAGTCCAACTTTTTGAATTTGAACTGAATTTTTGGACTTAGACTTGAACTTGAATTGGCTCCTCTGTGAATTTCATGAAGTTCAGGAAGTGCTTGATCCAAGTGCATGGTCCTGCACCTGGACTGGGGCAATCCCAAGCACAAATGCAGACTGGGTGGAGAATGGTTTTGAGAGCAGCCCTGAGGAGAAGGATTTTGGGGTGATGGTTGATGACAAACTCAACGTGAACTGGAAAAGTGTGCTTGCAGCCCAGAAACCCAGCTGTAGCCTGGACCACATCAAAAGAAGCATGACCAGAAGGTCAAGGGAGGTGATTCTACCCTTCTGTTCTGCTCTCATGAAATCCCATGTAGTCTACTGCATTCAGCACAGGAGCCCCCAGCGTAAGAGTGGTATGGACCAGCTGGAGCAATTTAGACCTAAGGAAGAAATTATTCATGATGAGGATGGTGAGGCACTAGAAGAGGTTGCCTAGAAAAGCTGTGGATGTCCCATTCCTGTAAATGTTCAAGGTCAGGTTGGATGGGGCTTTGAGCAACCTTGTCTACTGGGAGGTGTCCCTGCCCATGGCAGGGGGGTTGGAACTGGGTGGTCTTTAAGGTTCCTTCCAACCGTTCTATGATTCTATTCTTTGATTCCATAGATTTGACTGAGACAGAAACCCAATTCAATTGGTTTATGGGAGTCTAAAAGATGCCAAAATACATAGAAACAATTTACATTGAATAAAAAAGTAGTATTCATTTAAAAATAGAGGTTTGTAATGACTTCATTAGATTCAGGATTTTACCATAGAATAGTGAAACACAGAAATGAATAGAAATGAGCAATACACTGCACCGCCTCCTTTGAGCTCTGAACACAAATCATAGAATCACAGAATCATTTAGGTTGGAAAAGTCCTCTGAGAACATCTAGACCTACCTTTAAATCACTTTTGGTATGAAGGTTGGACCTCAACAAAGCAGTGCTTCTTTGGAGGTGTGAGATGTGTTACACATAATGATGAATCCATAGGGCTACCCACTGGATTTTTTTTGTTTGGTTTGCATTTTCTTGGCAATAACATGAGAAAGGGAGAGTTGAATTTGTAAATATTTGTCCTCTATTATCAGATTATGTTGCTAAGATGTGTTTAAGAATTTGACTAACTGGCATCAATTTCTTTACTCTGTGACAGTCTAACCCATATTTATTCCAGATTTCTGAGCACTGAATAAAAAAATTTCTAGAAGAGCATTTCAGTCACTTTTTGACAATAACTGTTCATTTCTAGCAGTTTCTGCTAAGTGTTGAGCTACTGACACACCATCTTGGATCAGCTAAGGTCTGCAGTCTACTGATGCTTTCTGGTAGACGTATGGGAATAAATGGATAGGATTATAATTTTTTCAGTCAAAATATGAGTTACAAAGAACATATAACACCTTTTGCAGAAGTATTATGTAAATTAATTATACGAATGCCATATAATCAGGAAAGAAAAAAAAAATAAAAAAAAAAATGTAAAGGGAATGAGATGTTGCTTGGGTTCAAAAGAATTTCTTTCCTCTGCCTTGCTCTATGGCTTATGTTACCAAAAGGGAAAGAGCCATAGCACTCTGTTGATTGGAAAAATATTGCACGTTGGTATTCTGAGACATGCAAAGCAGGTAATTGTTTCTTTAGGTGTGCAGGGGTGCAAACAGCTTCAGCAGCACACATGGAAGAGAAGAACAAGTGGTTAGTGGAGAACTCCCCCCTCCTCCCTTTGTCATCCACAATGATTTATGAACCTCTCTGCAGCCCCGTCCCAGTCTTTTCAGTGAAAGAATCCAGTTAGTTTCTCATAATGGCAGAAGTAATTAAAAAGGGGATCAACTTCAGAGGAACATAAAACACACACAAAAAGTCTGTCTCTTTAATGATATCCCCTACATCCTTTACTGGTGGGGATTCTGCTAATCTAATACCTGTTAATTTTCTTTCTAATTAGGGCTATAGCTCACCAAAGGCTGTTTTATATGTAATGTAGGTATGGTCAAAGGGCCTAATCCTCAGTCAGGTAAAGAATCTGAAGCTATGGAAAGAGATAGCAGAAGAAGTGAGTGGAAGACAGAAAGACACAATACACAAGACACTGGAAGATCAATAGTTCTTTTTATCTTGGCTGAAAACCACCATGAAAGATGCATGGATCTTGTAGTATGAATAGAAGGGGATTTACAGGAAGAGAACTCAATGTAGTCATAAATGTCTAGGCTTTCACTGAAGTCATGTTTTAGGCAATGTGATGTAAAAAAAATCACAGGCCTTTTGAAAAAAATCAGAAAATTATTACCACTACGCTGTTATTAGAATTGAATTACAAATATCTGGCTTCATCCTTCTCCCTCCATGGTGTCCCCACAGCTTTGAAGTGAGACAAAGAGAACACCAGGCTGCTGGCTAAAGACTGTCTCTGAAAAGGAACTGTATATGGACATGTATGACCTCTTTTGAGGTCAAATGTTCCACTTGATAGTCTGGAATTTCTCAATGAAAAAGAGTTTTAAAAGTTAAAAAGTTTTAAAAGTTAAGATTTTGCTGAGCCTGAGTATTTTCCAAATATTTTTCATTGATTTAAAACATAGGTGTCTTGAAAAATTCCTGCTGGAGTTGCTGGATTCCTGGAAAAGCAGGTATTTCATAACTGTTTCAGGGGACATAATAATTTCCTACAATTTTTCAGTCTTACATAAATTAAACTTGGAAAAAAAGTATTAGGGTATTCAGTGTTTATTCTGTTATTTGCAAAGGTAGTTCTTTACTATACAATATCAAAAGCATGACCCAGCTAAAATGAGTATATGGAGCTTTCACTGTTCTGTTCCTTAAAAGGTCACACTGGACTCATTTGCAAAGCTGGAAGAACAAACTTCAGGAATTCACTTGAAGAACTTGCACTTGAAGGAAATTTGCAGGTATTGTCGCACTGGGAATGGGAGATTGGCTTCTACCAGGAGATGATAGGAGGACACTGTGAGAGGATGTGTGGAAAGTGTTTGGATCCTAAAGGAGTTTATGTGCATCATTAATGCTGGTAGTAATAGAGGGCACCAATCAGGAGGAAATTTTTTAATCAGGAGATTAATTCTTTGTTTTATTAACTTCTAGTTATTACTAGTAATAACCCATTCTTCTATCACTGCAATTCTGCCCCACAAGCTCACACACTAGGTTTTAACTCCTTTTTTTAATTTAATTTAATTTGCTGATTTTTTTTTCTTTTTTTTTCCTTCCTTTTTTTTTTTTTTTTTTTTTTTTCTTTCTCCAAATATGCATGTCTTTACACACTGACAGAGCTTGCACAAGATCAAACCAAACCAAAGAAATCATCTGGAAATATCAAAGTGTTGATATAGATCAATCTCAGCGGGAGTGTTCCATAGCATTTTGTGAACCAAATTTCAGAAAAGATGTGGACCAAATAGGGGTACTCTGCAAAGATCAAAAAGAGTAACTGAAGACTGTGATGAGGAAGGATAAATAAATAAATAAATCTTAGAATTAGGTTTGTTTGAAGAGGAGAACTCCAAAGAAGGATGGGAGAAATATTCCCCGGGTATGCCAATGCAAGAAGGAGTACTCTGTTTGGAGCATTGGAAATGGATAGGATAACAGATCTAAAAATAAACAATGCAAACAATAGATCTATACCACAGTGAAGGAGATTCAGGGCCTAATTAAGGGAAAAAAAAAACAAAAACATTAAAGAGTATTCTAATACTGAATTATATTTCCTTGGAAAGCTGTTAGATTTCCATCATTAAAAGAGGCACTGGCCATTGTTTTAGGCAAGTATCTCTTAGGTATTGCTGGATGTGAGTTAAAAGGAGGAACTAGGTTGATTTCTGTGAACATTTCGAGTAGTATCTTCTATAATATGATGCACAACAATTGGGAGGGAGAGGATTATTATAGTTTAGAGGTGAAGCATGAAGAAATACCAAAAGATGTTCTTTCATATCATTCTTTTATAGTTAAATACTAAGGAAAAAAAAAAAGCCAAGGAATTATTCCTATCTTCCCTAATCCACAAAGATTTTAAATAAATAGCTGGCTGCTGTTCTATTTCATCAGATATAATGAAGCAATACCCATGTTATTATCTCTTTTCTTGCTCTATTATTGAAAGAGCAATAGAATAAAGATATAATTTTTCCTCTGCAATAGTTTGAGACATTAAAGCTCAGGTTTTGTTCTCAAATCTGCAGTGGACACACTCCCTGATCTTGCACAAGACTCAAAACCTTTGTAATATTCCATTTTGTAAATGTCATTACTCTTCTGCCTTGGAGACTAAGGTGTAAGTTATTCAATGTCTGCAGACACTTTGATCTATGTATTGCAAGGAAATATAAGATATGAGTATCTTATTTATTGTTGTTTTTACATATCCCCTCAAAAAAGAAAAGAAAAAAAAACACACTCCACTTTTCTGTTTTTACAGAGCTTTTTCAATCTTCCTGTGAACATGACTTAGAGAGACTATCTTGTGATTCACATTTTTTCTTTTCTGCTTGCTTTTCTAAGATATGAGACTCATGCAATCCTGCATTCTTTTTCTCTCACTTTCTATGCATGTACATATGTCTTTTGTATGACCTGGCTAGTTTTGGTAAGATCTGATAGAGAGCCAGAGACCTTGAGTGTCCTATGCTCCTAGATGCTTCATGAAATTGGGCCCAGAGTATAAAAGAGTGATTCTCTTTATCTTCATGAAGGGAAAATAGCTGCCTGTTATCTATCAGAGATACCAGTTGGAAAAGAGTAGTTGTAAATGTCCAGCCAAAGGAAATGCTTTATTCAGAGTCAATGGCTCTAGACAACAGGGCATCTATCTACTCCTCAGCAAAGTTTTCCTTCCTGAGTAGGCTCCCTTTCTCTGGTCATTAATAGCAAGGTTAAGAAGTGCGGTTAAGCCACTTATCCCTAGTTCCAAAACCATTTAAAATTAGGCTGCATTAGTTCCAGTGCTTGCCCAGCTACTTGTTGTCTAGTAGAGAAATTCAATTAAAAAAACGTCATGATCAGAGTCCTAAGGTTGACTTCGAAAACAACAAAAGCTGAGAAATTCAAAAGCAACGCTCTGTGCTCTTGCATTGAAACCATACATTATGAAAACACTCTATTAAGATAATACTTCGCACTAAATTTTACAGTGATCATCTTTCAGTCCAGTGCAACCTGAGTACTTTAATGTTCATCCTTGTCCCCCTTAAGACTTCGTTTGCTGCTGGCTTTTCTGTGTGTGAGGAAAGCAAATGTCATGTTGGCTAGCTGCCTCTTCTCTTGAGCATGGTCACTGAAGATTGGTCCTAACCATTATTTTGTTTGTTTTTCAAATGTTCTGGGGCAAAACTATGGGACAGGAAATGGCTGAGCCTGTCTGACACTGTTGCAGCATTAGCTCTGCTGGAGCAGCTGGGTCTCATTACTTTGCTGGGTGCTACTTGGCTCAGGCCAAAGTCTCTTGGCACTTTGTCACCTCTCCTGAAGCACAGCTCCTAGAAAAACTGTGTCAAGGTCCTGAATGTATTAATGGGACGGAATTGTTATGGCAAGCCTCACATGGGTTCTCCAACCCACAGCCTCTGCTTAGGGGCTCCACTACATCTTACACCCTGCCCAAGCTACACTGTAGGTGTGCCTATCTCTGTCTCCAGCTATGATACAGTAATGCCTGGCTATGTGCCCATTGAGCTGGCTGGATCCTGACCTGTGGACCAAATTCCTAGTTTGATGTTGGACCTGCCTTTTCACTATGGAATTGCCCAATGATTGTGAGATTGTGTACGACTCTTTATATCAGGGCTGATCCTGACTGGTGTTTCTGGCTTCATATTGGACCTACCCTGTCACCACAAACTTGACTTGCAGCTGGTGCCCACTGCTCCTTACATCAAAAGAATTAAGGCTGGAAACTGACTGGGACTCCACGAGATGCAAGGCTCAGTTTGTCTTAAAAATATTGAGGTGCTTCCACTACCTGACCTTCTCTCTGTCCCTCTTGTGAGGAAGGTTAGCCAGATGGAGCAAAGCATTGTGATTTTGACCAGCACGTGTACGTGACATGAAATGTGCCCTTTTCCCCCATTCTTGCACATCTAAAAATCCCTGGCTAAAATTAGGCACTTACATGGACATGTTAGTATTTGCATGTTTGGTATGGGTGCACTCATGCAAGGGGTACCACTCTGACATGGCTTGCCCTAGCTAACCTCTTCCCTAAGGAATGTAAATAGCCTTCTGACAGGAGATAGTGGTACTTAGATTCCTTGACTTTCTGTTACAGGTGGAGGAAGGGAGAGAGGGAAGGAGAGATGGATATTTTAGCTCTGCTTCCCTGTGCACAGCACACATTTCTGCATGGATTTTCAGTAACAGTCATTGATGATCGCATCAGCAGTAATGTCTCTTGATGCTTGCAGTCTCTCTTAAGGAGGACAGGAACTGGAATACCATGTGGAAACGGGGCTGAAGGTGGGAGGGGATGCTCATGGCAAGTGTGTAGGGAGAAAGGAATTGCTTTCTGTGTAGAAAAGTTCCATCCAGCCCAGCATCTTCTCTCTGAGAGGAGCCAACAGCAGGTGCCTGCGGAAGAGTAGAGGAACAGACCATTTCTGGAGTGACTCCTCCCTTGGTACTTCCTTCCTCCGTAGTTCTGGCAGCCTCTAGGTTAGAGACTTCTTGGTCAAGAATCTGAACACTTCTGTCTGAAGACTCCCAGTGGACATGTGTGTATTTGCTGTCTTTCTGAGAAGTTTTTAGGCCTACCAAGCACTGGGTGACTTGTGATGCATAATTTAAATGTGTGTTGTGCAAATACACCCTCACTATTTTTTCCTGTTGTGCAAGGACTTCCCTTCTACAGATCTCCCTGAGCTTTCCAGGGCATGTTCAGAAAAATACAGTTGTACCATCACATCTCCTGTATAATACCTCTCACCATCTGAAGATCCTTCATTTTTGTGAGCTTTTGCTGGTCAAGTTTGGGTTGTCTGATTTCCTGTGTTTTGCATTCTTCCATGGGGAGGCAAAGTAGATGTTTTTCAGCTGATATATGTTGTTTCATTTGTTGATGATTTATTACACTGGGTAGAAATGGAACAACTCATTAACTTGTACCCTCGTTTATTTGTTCCTAGAACAAGTGTTCTTCCATGGCTGATGAAAAATAACTCACTTGCTCTTCTGAATTGTCAGCGGCATCTTGTACATCTACACAGTAGATAGAAGGCCAGCTTCCTTGCTGATACTTTGCTGTGAACTTCCCAAGTGCACTTTCAAATGTCCTCCTTTATGGAATTCATGGAGGTAGATGGATGATGAGGTTTACTATTTGGCACCTATTGGTGACCTTTAGTCACCAATTTAGAACAAATGTTATACTAAACTAATACCCTTGTTAATTCAGAAGTTGACATCCTAAAGGAAAAAAAAAAAAAAAAAAAAAAAAAAAAAGCCAGTTCCTTTGGCCAGCTTATAGTAGCTTAATGAAATGTTCTTTTATATGCATTGTGCCATAGAGTTCTGGTCAGTAAGGTGCCATGGACTTTCCTTATCTGTGATCTACCCTCATTTTTCTCCTGATGATTTCCCAGCTAATTGTTTAAAGGATGCATAATTTGTTTGTAAAGGTTTCTGGCAAAATAAAATTAATAAAGATCTCAGATGTGTTTGAGACAAATAAAATCTGCCTCAGCCCTCATCTTCATTTTAAAATTTTGGAAGTAGATATGTAACAAAATGACAGAAAGACAAGGGAAACAGTTAACAAGAACAACAACAAAAACAGTTTTCTTTTTGGTAACAGTAAGGAACTTAAAACGTTTAATTATTTTCCTTTGTATAGCAGTCTTCCTCAGCCTTAAAAAAGTGGTTGAACTGGGGATATTTTATATCAATTTAAAGATGTTTTTGAGTTGAATTTGATCAGCAGTTACAATTCCACCTTAAATTCTCCAAAGATGGCACTTGCTTAGGGTTCTGAAGATGGGAATATGATCTGCTAAAAATCAGACAAGTGAGCAGAAACAAACTATGACTTCTGCCCCAGGGGTAATGGAGATGGAGATGAATCCTGACAAGCACACACATGACAAGACCTAGGCAGAGCAAGAACGGGTGACTCACAAATTGTAGTGGCACGTTCTCTCCAAGGGCCTCAGTGTGCAGTAATGCCTGAAAGATCTCAACCAGGATCACATGATGGTTGGCTGACTGTTGAGCCATATAATAAAACCCCAACAAATTAAGTATAAAACAGCCTCTGGTGAGCTATAGCCCTAATTAGAAAGAAAATTAACAGGTATTAGATTAGCAGAATCCCCGCCAGTAAAGGATGTAGGGGATATCATTAAAGAGACAGACTTTTTGTGTGTGTTTTATGTTCCTCTGAAGTTGATCCCCTTTTTAATTACTTCTGCCATTATGAGAAAGCTAACTGGATTCTTTCACTGAAAAGACTGGGACGGGGCTGCAGAGAGGTTCATAAATCATTGTGGATGACAAAGGGAGGAGGGGGGAGTTCTCCACTAACCACTTGTTCTTCTCTTCCATGTGTGCTGCTGAAGCTGTTTGCACCCCCAAAAAACCACACACCCCTCCCCAATGGCCAGTGCACATAGTGCCATCACTGACAGTGCTGCTGCCAGCTTTCCTCCTACACATGGGCACACAGCGTGCTCTGCTGTTAGAGTTTTGTTGTGGAACGAGCTCACACCCAGCCTCAGCCCAGCTCTTTGGAGATGGGTGTCTCTTCTTTCTTTTTGCTCACTGGCCCATTCAGTTGTGAAACTCCATCTGATCCTTTAGATCAGTTTGATGTGCAAAACCGTAGTGCTTCATGGCTTGTGGGCTCCCGAGCTGCTTCCATAGAGCAAATAGCAGTGGTAATGGGGGTGATAAGATTTCTTTTTGATTTCATCAGTGACCTCCTCCTAGCCCATCCTCCTGGGATTCTGAGTTCACAAAAGATGCAAGAACTGTATCCCTTTAAATCCCATAGAGTGGATTCTGCAGCAAGCCATCTCTCAGACTGTCTTCTTGACCTGTAAGCATACTGATGGTCTGCATTCTTGCCAGCCTGTTTTATCTGTTAGATAAAATAAAGGCCTCCAAATTGCACATCTAAAAGTAGAAGGGCTCTTGTCTCCTGTATGCTTACTGCAATTCAGCTGTGCTTGTGTAGTACAGATCACCTGTCCCACATTCAGTGGGCTTGCTGCAATTATAGTGCAGAGCTCTTCTGTACACATGCAGTGGCAATCTGGTTATGATTATGGTGCAACTACAATCACACCTTTGCCTTTCAAAGTCTGCAGTTCTTGTCTAGCTCCCTGCCCAGAACAGCAAGTTTTGGTGAAAGATAGGCCGCATTTAATTAGAAAGCCTCTGAGGAGAGACCTTCTGCAAGAGCAGCACTGTTGTGGGGACAGATTGCTTGGACAGTGATGTTCAGAAGGGAGACAGTTTTCACAGTATGTTTATATTATAAAAGTCCTTTGAGAAAATCAATTATGAGATTCAGCTAACTGTCTGAGCACCCAGAAACAGTGGTTGGCTCCCAGGTTCCCAGGTAAGCACAACTCATAGAAACTGTTTTTGAAAGTGTTATTTCAGGATGTTATTACGTATTCTACTCTGGGTAGTTATATTTTGCCAACACAAAGTGCTCCTGTTCAGGGATTAAAAACATTCTTTATTTTCTCTTAGGTGTGCTCTGTGCTGATGGCTGTTGTGTATTTCCTTCCTGTTAGATGTGACTACATTTCATGAGTGATGGCAAGGATTACATCTGAAAAGATGGAGAGATTTTGGCAAATCTGATGTCCTTTTGAAGCCACTACCCTACAAGGCACACATGGTATGAGTTGGCTGACAGCATTCTGGCAGACTCTGTAGACAGCTATTGAAGTCAACTTTTGGCAAGGATTTAGGAAGCTGAGTTGTTACCACATGTTTTTTATAGGTACTGTGGTTTATTTTGACATGCAAGGGGTGACATAACACTGATTTTAAAAAAGCTTAGGTTGTTACCACTTTGCAACTAAGAGTATAGATATCAAAGGGTGGCAAATGTGTTACTGCAGCTTAATGAGTTACTGTTTGTCACTGCAAATCAGCTGAGGAGTGTTAGCTAGTTAAGCTCTGCTAACCTGATTACTTCTAATCATCTTTTTAGAAGATTACAATATTAGCTAGTCAATGATCAGCTCTGAACATACCTGGATGCGGACCAGCCATCCTCTGATATGAAGTGGAAGTAGCATACCTGTCTTCTTCCCTAACCCAATCTCATTTTCTGTTTCAAATCTGAGCAATGATGACTGCACTTATATGTTTGCTGTCCTATTCATTAACTATGTCTCAGCAAGGAAATGCTTTTGAGAAATCCTTGTTCTGCATACACTCCTCGTGCTTGTACGAGGGCTCCAATAAATACTTTTTAGTCATAAGATAAGGCTTGCATTTGTATTTCACAGAATTAAAATCCTAGATTGGGTATGTATGAAAATGAATTTACCTTCATCACATATGATAGTTTCTGTTCGTCTCTTTGTTCCTCCTTCCCCAGATTGCACATGCACATACGTGCATACATGCATACACACATGCACATGCACACACACACAGTTTGTCACAAATCAGTACAGCTGGTAATTTTCAGTTCACCAGAAGCTCAGAATAGCAGAGAAATTGTTCAGTCAGGCTTGATGTGGAGAACAAGTGTTTGCGCACACTCCTCACTCTCTTTCTGGGGGGAAACTATCAAAAGAGGTTTGAAAAAGGAATGTCAAAGAGAAGAGAGTCAACACATTTGCCTGTTCTTTTTAATATACTTTTTTGCTGATATATAGGTGTGGGTCTGCCATGGTGTAGCTGAGATGAGAAGTAAGAGTTTAGATGCTGTATTGCTTTAACTGTAAAGGTGGGCAGGGGCAAAGCAGGTAGTATTTCACACTTGGGATCCTTCTGTTGAGTGGATCATATCAACAGAAAAAGCTTGAGAGGTCTTCCTTGAGAAATAACTTTTTTCCCTCTTTCCTCCTTCATGCCCTGCAAGGATGGAAAACTTAATACCCTCCATACTCCTCTGAAGAGGTAGAAACACACATGGCCAGAGGAGTGTTTGTTACCTTGGGAGATAGAACAAAACAAGATAAACACATGCTGGGGATAAAATGGCTCTCTTCCACCTTTCCATCCACCAGACTATGTCCCACAGAAAAAATCTTCAGTCATCCATGTAGTACCAGGCAAAATTCTCTTTGAAACTATGTATTCAGTGAAAGAAAAGCTAGCTGTGTGACTGGTAGATTTATCTGTACTAAGAAAATAAGTTGGAGTTGTGCAGACATTGAAATAAAAATGCTTCCATTTCTCTTCTCTCTTTCTATCAGGGCCAAAACATTAATTTAGACTTACATATCATCACCATTGAAGGTAATAGAAACTAAGCAAGTCTCAAGGAAACTACACAGAAAGCAACTCTTGTTTTCTACGGTAAAATATATATATTTTTTTAAAGATGGACACTCCAGATACAAGCCTCATTTGTCAATATAATGATGTTTCTAAAGAACCTCTCTCTCCCTGCTATATTAACTGAGCAAGGAGACTGACCACCTTATTAATTGGTCTTTCATAATGTAGGAGAAAAAAATCATCCATTTTGGCTACAACATTAACACCAAGATTTACAAGTTAAGTGTATTTTTTCTACATAAAAAAAAAAAATAATCTGTAATTTTGTTTTTAGTTGCATCTATTACATCTACACCTAGGAGCAGCAGACAGTTTACTGAAATCCATCCTTCTTTGTCATTGGCAATCTCACAGAAAGGAGGCCTTAACATGAAATATGAAAGGATTTAGCACATTATAAATAGAGATAAGTATTTTTTTTCTCTCTCTCTCTCTCTTTTTTTTTTTTTTTTTTAATTTACATACATTGAAGAGGCTTGGGAACCAGTTAAGTTCCTATGAAAATGCCAAACCAATTGTTTAACTGCTGCACAGAGCTGTAGGCAAGTATCCTAGTAAACTGCTCACAATATATGAACTTTTGTTCATATTACACAGTGAAGACAGACCAAATCTGAAACCATTTCAAATTTGTTTACAATACAATCCAATTAATTCACAACTGATATTGAATAAGCAGCTCTACTGTATTCTATTGCTAATAACTTTCAACACTGAGCCTTTTTCCTGGTGATGTTAGTATTCATGGTCTGGGAGGAGCAGCTGAAATCTTGATGGAACTAGAAAAGAACAACAAGATGGGGGAGGTCCAGCCATGTGTGACTCCTCCATGTTCAGCTCATATGCTCTGTGGTGGTTTTGTTGTGTTAAATCCTTCTGGTGACTCCAGTTACCAGGAAGTACAATTTTATACTTCCTGCTCTTATACTTCACTATTATAGACAGTGGAAAGTCAAAAACCTAATAGCACTTCTCACACCCTGAAGGCAGACAGATTGCCTACTCAGAGTTTTAAGCTGGGACTTCCTTTCTGCTTTGGACTCTGCAAAAATGTACTATACAAACTGCATGGTATTCTGACTGCAGGAGTGATTTCATGGCTTGTCTGCTTTTCCTGCGACTTCTGTGTGTCTTCAGATCTTCCAAAACCTTTCTAGAGATTGGCATTGGCATTGCTTCTCAGTGGTAC